CATCCGCCATTTCCCATTATTCTTTTTCACCATGACCATGTTGGCGACCCACTAGGGGTACTTCGGCTCCCTGATGGAGCCATTTTCCAATAGTTTTTCCACCTCTTCATGTACTACATCATTAATTGCAGAGTTGAACTTACGCCTGACCTGTATTACCGGGGGGTGGAATGGGTCAATGTTCAGTTTATGCGTGGCGATTTCCTTTGGGATACCTGGCATATATGCATGACTGAAAGCAAACAAATCTGCGTTAGCTGCTAAGAATTGACGAAATTTACCTAGTTCCTGAAGCTTGCAGCCAATGTAAGCTTTTTTCCTGTGGTCGTTGGGGTCTAATTGAACGGGGTCAAGATCTTCTATGGTTGATACCGCAGCTTCGACCACATCCGGGTCTGTGATGTTGTCCCCGCCATCGTCATGTGCCGACCTCGACCCTGCTGATTGCTATGCTTCCTTTTCTTTATCTTTCTTTTGTTGGGTGGCCAAGCTGTCAAGGGCGATGCGATAGCATTCTCACGATGTGCATTGTTCTCCTCGTATATTGAATATTCCCCACAGAGTCAGGAACTTGATGACCTGGTATAAGCTAGAAGGGACGACTCTCATGGTGTGTATCCATGGTCGCCCTACTATGGCATTGTATGCTGTGTCTTGGTCCATGATATGTAATGTGGTTTCTAGAGTGAAGCCACCGGCCAGAACGGGGAGTGTGATTTCACCAGATGTTCGCTCGACAGCATTGTTAAAACTACTTAGTGTGATGCAATGTGACACTATCTTATCTTCGAGTTTCATTTGCGCAAGTACTCGAGGATGGATAATGCACGCGCCATTTCCATCATCTACCATAATTCATCTCACATCGTTATCTAAAATTCATAAAGTGATTACAAGGGCATCATAGTGAGGAAAAGCCAAACTGTTGGTATCTGACTTATCGAAGATTATACTCTCTTCGAGTTCGTCATGCCGTTTGTGGGTGATTGACCGTTTGAGCTTGTGGATAGTGGTGAACTTCACGTGTTGATGGAAGCATCGTCACCGCCGCCGATGATCATGTGGATGGTACGAGCTGGTGAGGGCGGATTCGGCGGTCCTTGGTATTGTTCGCATCCTCTGGCGAAGTCGGTCCTTCCCCGGTCGCTCAGTAACTCTTTGAGGTGTCCTTGTCGTAACATATTTACGACCTCCTGCCTTAGGGCAATGTAATCTTCAGTTTTGTGCCCTCGTTCTTGGTGGAACTCGCAGAGGGCGTCTGACTTTCTGGTGCTCGGATCTGACCTCATCTTCTTCGGCACTTTACCTTCGGTTCGAGCTCTCCAGGGCATAGACTATTTCTGTAGGTGACACACAAAAGTTGTGAGCAGATAATAAAGGGGGCATACCTCTTTCATTCCGGTGAGTCCCTGTCCTTGGTCTAGGCGAGCCTTCTTCGTTGCGGGAGGGGGGCGCAACAGCCATTCTGACCTACGACTGATGTCGTTCCCTGTTAGATCATAGAGCTACAAGATCTCTTATAGTATCATTTCTTCGATCTTTTCTGGATTCGGCCTGTACCGAGGTCAGTCGGTGAGTTGGACCATTAAGGTCGTCCTCATCTGCTCGGACCCCAGCACAATATGCGTTGTGTTATTTGTGCCAAGTGGTTGGAGGGTACTTCATCAGTCGACTTAATAACTTTCTTGTCGCCCTCGAACCATCCCTACTCAACCCGTTCTGAAAGGATGTGACCACCATCCCTTCCGATACGTTCGGCAGGGCCATCCTTACTCGGTTGAACCAGGCGAGGAATTCCCTCAATCCTTCTCCCGGAGACTATTTAATAGCAAATATGTCGTTCACTCTCGCCTCGGCCTTCTTGGACCCAGCATGGGCCGTTACAAACTTATCGTCCATCTCTTCAAAAGTTTCAATGGAATGCGCATGTACTTATGAATACCATGTTAACGCTCCTACTGTGAGGGTTACACATAATCTTTTCAACAAAATATAAGATACTTGTTCTTTGGCGAGGTCATTGCCTTTCACGGCGGTAATATAGTTAGTCACATGATCTTCAGGGTCGGTCGTGCCATCATATATCCTAAAGTAGGGTGGCATTTTAAAGATTTTTGGTATGGCATGTGGGACGACATCATTACTATACGGCTACTCGACGAACCGGCCAGCGTCTCTCTTCGCCAAGAGATTAGGGGCGGCCGGTATTTTGTCGACCCTTTCTCAATGTTCTTTCATTTGATCCCGGAGTGCTTTGTTCTCATTTTTCATTTCCTCCATCTTTTTCAGAATGGCTGCGAGAGTGTGGTCACCTTCATTGTTAATGACATTGTGAGTAATACCTGTCGTTGGAGGAGGAGGGGGTTGGTTGTGCTACTCGTCTGCTGGTTGTACAACGCAAGTCCTTGCATTTTCTGTAGCCGTGTCCCGAGTGGGCTTGCAGAGGATGCTGGTTAGCGTGTCAGTTAGCCATGCCTCAAGAAGCTTTTTTACAGCTGGGGGTGTCTTCTCTGCAACGGATGTAGAGGCTCCCTTACCAAGAGATTTTGTAATGCTGCAGTAAGGAGGAGGTGACCCATTTTGTCTAGGGGAGGAATTGGGCATTGCGTCTTCGTCTGCTGTTTCACAGCTTTCATTGATGACGTTCATGAGATTGGTTGGGAGGTCGCTTATTATTTTCGTCCTTTCTTCTCTGTTACCTGCCATATTGGGATTTGTGTACACAAAAAAAGGAGATCTTGTTCTTGTTTTTTTACGTTAGTGATCCGTGTTATTTGTAGATCTAGAAGAAACTAAAGATTTAATTAGAAAATCCCCACAGACGGCGCCAAATTGTTTGACCTAGAAACATAAATTTCGGTTCAAATAATTAATTCTAATTAAACATAGGTTAATCTTAGTTAATAATAATCTCTTCAAATCTTGATATCAAAGAGGTAGTTGAAAAGCATTTATGAAGACTATAATGATTCCTTGCAATAGATACCTTACAACTACCAAGAACAATAATAATATGCAAGATATTTAATAAGTGTCAATCTGGTGACACTCACGTAATTAAGGGGAATAATTTAAGCAATAAAAAATGGAACAAAGGAAACTTTCACTTGACAATGATTGGATGACAGATCCTCAAACAGTCGAGGATTCTTCGGATCTGGCAAGAATCTTAATGAAAAGTAAATTCTTGTATTGAGTGAAGAATAAATCTTTTTGAAAGTGTTGTTCTTACAAGAAATGAATTTCACGTGCCTTTCCTCTCTCTTCCTTCTATTTATATGGGATCCTTTCTCGAAAAATCCTAATAGTACAAATATAAGGAATATTCACTAGAATATTCCCTTCCTGATTTCATTTTGAAAACTAGCTGTTATAACTCTATCGTCAATGTTCGACCACGACCCTCCTCGACTCTTCGACCATGATCATCATCGGTATTTTGACTACGGCTTTCTTAGACTCCTCGACCTCGGCTAATGTGACTTCATGACCGTCTTTAATTAATGGTGATTTGCGGATCCTTCTCGCAGTGTTATTTTGACCTGAATATCCTAAAGACAGATTTTGACCCATACAATGTACACTAAAACTACGTATTTGTCCTCTAATATCTAATTTATTTTAGTATCATAATCGCTTTAAAGAGATAAACTTTATTAGTTGTACACTTTTAATATTAATTAAGTACTAGCAATTCATCTATGGTATGGGTGTGGAGGATGAAAGAATTTAACTAGCTATATCTTATATTAAAGTCAATGCAGCATTTGGCAAGTCACCTTAATTTAGAGAAAATATTAATCTTCTACATCATCAAACTCATCTTCTTTTTCCACCAAATGAAGTTGACCAAGAAATTAAGTTAGTACTCTGTGGACATTATATTTGAACAAAATTACGTCAACCTGGCGGCTCTTAACTTACAAAACAACAATAATAAGGTAGAATACATAGTTCACACATTAACCTTGTAGCGAAATTTTTGTTACACACTTCTCCTTCACGAAAAAGTTTTTACATACTCAACTTTTCAGAAGTGTGTCTAAGACACACTACTTTTGACTAGATAACAGTTTCGTGTTTACATACACAAAAAAAAGCGCGTAAAGCCCATAAAAAATCCCATTTTTTGTCTCCCTTCCCCACAGGAACCCCTTCCCCTCCCTCTGGTCTTCTTCCTCAGACCACCCTCCTCCATCTTCTTCCCCAAATAGAATTTTTGAAAGAAGATCTAAAATTGAGCGATTTTTGTTGGTTTATTGTCTAAATATTGTGAAAATCAATTATTTGTGATAGATTTAAAAGTTTTAACAGTAGTATTGAAGGTTTGGTAAAAAAATCTAGAATCCACCATTGTTGGGGTATCGAAAAAAACTTGTAAATTCAATTAGTTCTTGTTGATTATTGGGTTGTTGAACTCAATTTGTTACTCGATTATTTTCGGCTAGCTGTTTAGATAGTGTGGTTGAATTTTGGTGTTGTTAGAAACTTTCTCACAAACAACTATGGTGGCAGTAACAATGGTGCTTAAGATAGAAAATGAGAAGATGAAGAAGATGAGTTTTAATTGTAATTTCTAATATTTTTTTCTTTTTTAAGGTCAATGACACGTGTCACGACCCTATTAGGGCTTGACTTTCACGTTACTTGAAAAATTGGTCAAAGACAAAAGTAGTGTATCTTAGACATACTTCTGAAAGGTTGAGTGTGTAAAAAGTTTTCCGTGAACGAGAGGTGTGTACAAGAGATTTCGCTGCAAGGTCGGTGGGTAAACTATGTATTTTGTCTAGTAATAATAATAACGAAAAATTGCACATTTCTTGTCATCGTAAATGTGTCATCCAATGATTAGCTTAAAATTAATGATCTTGAAAAATGAGAACAAGCAAAATATATATTTTTTTAAATGAAATTCTTGGCGTCTCAATTTAATTCACCACTTGAATATTTTTATAAAGGCTTAAGGCTATCTCTATATAAATGAGATGTTACGTGAAAGCTTCATCTAAATTAGTTTCTAACAAAAGCCTTTTCTTCATGGCTACCTTACATAAACATATTACTCTTCAAATGGCTGCTATTATACTGCTAGGATTACTTCTTGGCAGCACTATGATAGTAGGTATGCCACTCCCTCTCAACAAAAAATGCAAAAGACAGTCTAAAATTTTGAATTTCAAAGTCAATAATAGTCTTATATTTTGTGTTTGCAAAATATACATTAGCCATTTTGATGATAGCTATTTCCTTATTTTTCGTCTCCAATTTGTGTATTTTTATCATAATTAACTTGCAAAGTATTCATTTTGGTGTGGTTATTTGCTATTTTTCGGGTAAAACTCATATGGTTTTCCAATTAGAACTCACTAGCTTTTCCAATTTGAGGAGGGACTTACCAAGTCTTTTCCAAGAGAAATATTAAGAATTACTTTAATTTTATCGTTCAATATATTTTGGTTCATTCATATATTAGTCATTAACAAATAATTTTATATTTATCGTTGGACTTAATCGAACTCGAGTGTGGACCGAGTGGATTTCACATGTCAAAATATTAACAGAAAAAGGTTCAAATTTACATATCTAGAGATTTGACTATTGTTTAAAATTATCCTCTATTATTCTTATGCGATAAATACAAGATGATTTGGTATCGCAAAAAATATGAATAACCTCAAGTAAAATTAAGATATTTCATAAAACAGAAAGGTATTTAACCTTTTCCCTGGCTATTTTAACTTTGCAAGAATTCATAATTAATTATAATATGTAACACTATTTTTTATTCTTATGGGGTAGGGGCTCAATCAATAGGTATTTGCTATGGAATGCTAGGCAACAACTTGCCACCAGCATCACAAGTTGTACAACTCTACAAGTCAAGAAACATAAGAAGAATGAGGGTTTATGATCCAAATCAAGCAGCTTTACAAGCTTTAAGAGGCTCCAACATTGAAGTCATGCTAGGAGTTCCCAATTCAGATCTCCAAAACATTGCTGCTAACCCTTCAAATGCAAATAATTGGGTACAGAGGAATGTTAGAAATTTCTGGCCAGCCGTTAAATTTAGGTATTGTTAAATTGTGTGACTATATATATATCATCAATAAGGTTAAGTTGTTACAATTAAAGATTATATTTTATTATGTCTTCAACATGTCTCTCATGTGCAGCTTAATTCTTTTTCACTCATGGAGTTCTTTTTGATAATAGGTGCTGCTAAGTCTAAAATTCAGAAATTGTAATACCACGTTGAAGTGTGTAATTATCTTATCTAAAACCTTAAATCGTTAACACTTTTGTTTATTTAATTATGTCTTCAGGTACATTGCTGTTGGAAATGAAGTCAGCCCTATAACAGGCACATCTTCACTTACCCGATACCTTCTTCCGGCCATGAGGAACATTCGGAATGCAATTTCTTCAGCTGGTTTGCAAAACAATATCAAAGTCTCAACTTCTGTAGACATGACCTTGATTGGGAATTCTTTTCCACCATCACAGGGTTCATTTAGGAACGATGTTCGGTCGTTCATTGATCCGATTATTGGATTTTTAAGGGGCATAAATTCGCCTTTGCTCGTTAACATTTACCCTTATTTTAGCTATGCTGGTAATCCGCGTGACATTTCTCTCCCCTATGCTCTTTTCACTGCACCTAATGTGGTGGTACAAGATGGTTCACTTGGATATAGGAACTTATTTGATGCAATGTTGGATGCTGTGTATGCTGCCCTGTCTCGAGCCGGAGGGGGCTCAATAGAGATTGTTGTGTCCGAGAGTGGCTGGCCGTCTGCTGGCGCAGTTGCAGCGACAACAAACAACGCAGCAACTTACTACAACAATTTAATTCAGCATGTTAAAAGGGGTAGTCCAAGAAGGCCTAATAGAGTCATTGAGACCTATTTATTTGCCATGTTTGATGAGAATAACAAGAACCCTGAATTGGAGAAACATTTTGGATTGTTTTCCCCAAACAAGCACCCCAAATATCCACTCAACTTTGGGTTTTCAGATAGATTTTGGGACATTTCTGCTGAAAATAATGCTACTGCAGCTTCTCTCATAAGTGAGATGTGACAAGATAATTTGTTCTTTACGCAATTTTATTATAATGAGACACTAGTACTTGCTCTCTGTTAGTCCTCATGGATTGTTAACTAGAGACAAATTAAGCAAATTACATAAACAATTGAGTGCTGATTCTGCAATGATAAAATGGAAATTAATAGTGGTGTTTTAAACTTTCTGTTCTTGAGATGTTGTAGTCTACAAGCAGCCTTTTGTAAGTTAATATTAATTGCAAAGAAGAGAGACTCATGTTTTCCAAGATTCCCATTTATCAATTTATTGCACCACCTAAAGTTTTAGCCAAATGAATCTGTATTTGATTGTCTAGAATCATCTGCCAGAGTACTGAAAAAAGGATGAAAGTAATAATTAACATGAAAAATCATATATACATGAAATAAACATATTGCGAAAAGTAGAAAACCATGTACTCAATCGGGCATCAACGCTGAATTGTTTTAGGCCTCTTGTTGCCAAGCCATGACTTAAACTAGTATACGCGTATTCCGTTAATGACAAATAATAAGACCAAAAATTTAGACTTAGAGAGTGTTTTGTCGTGCTAAATCACTAACATTTATTCTCAATACTCAAAACTCGAGAATGTAAGAGTGAAAAAACTTTTTTTATTCCACCACCGGGTGATCCAAGCTAAAAAGTTAGTGAATTAGTCTTCACACTATCCAAATGCATCCTTTGAGAAAACCATATACATTAGGTATGCTCTCCGTCTAAAATGAACCCATAGATCTAAAGAAAATATTTTCTAATTTTTGGAAGAACTCAAAAGTTTGACGTTTCCATTGAAAATGCTCGTCGAAATTTTGAAGCTAACGTCATGGTGGCCCATTCACTAAACTTCTATAGGTATGGGGTTTCTAACAATGTTACCTTATAAAATCAAAAATGAGTTTTATATAGTAAGAGGAGACAAGATAGTATTGTACAAAAACTCTATGATTTGAATATCTTAGTGAAAAGCAAATGGACGGTCAATCTCCTGCCTCGGCCCACAAAGCAATTAACGAACACCATGTTTTCGTACCGCTTGCCCCATATCACATCAAGTGGTAGTGATTCGATACATCCACTAACGCCAACTTTAGTTACTTCTTTTTCTTCCCATCCAATGCCCAAACTTTTTTTTTTCCTCTACAATATCCAAGACTTTGATAGATCACTCGAATGGCAATGGGGCGGGCGGGACGGATTTGGCAAAACTCACAAAAATTTCAATCCGCCCCACTTATATATTTTTTTTTCTAAAAAAACTAGTTTGACATTTTATACTACTAGAAGTTTAGATTGATAGATAGTTCAGTAGAAATTTTTAAACAATAAAATATGATAAATAACAATTTGTATATTGGATAGAGTGATTAAATGTTGAGCTAAAGACATAAAAGTAGTTTTTGCAGTTTAGAATTTAAGTTTAATGGCATATTAATTTATAGATCTAATCACTCTTATCCCAAGATTATTCATGATTCTGCCCCTAATTGATACTAGATAATTATCTCTACTGGAATATAAGGAAATTTCAGTCGAATTAGCAGTAAAAAGGAATACTTGTAGAAGAATAGTAGTTTTTCATTTTAAGAAAATTAAGTGGGCGTTTGGACATAAGAATTGTAAAATTCCAAAATAGGATTTTTTTTTTTTTAAAAGTGAAAATGGTATTTGAAATTTAGAGTTGTGTTTGGACATGAATATTATTTTGGGTTGTTTTTAAAGTTTTGTGAGTGATTTGAGTAAAAATTTTGAAAAAAAACTTTTTAGAGTTTTTCAAATTTTCGAAAATTTTCAAAATGCATCTTCAAGTGAAAATTGAAAATTTTATGAATAAACGCTGATTTCGAAAAAAAAGTAATTTTTTTTTGAAAAAAAAAAAAAAATTTCTTATGTCCAAACGGGCTCTAAGCCACTTATGGTGACAGTGCTTAACTGATTATATATATATAACCCTTATTACTATTTTCTGAAAGTTAACTATTCATGCTTTCCAAAGTTAACCATTATCGTTTTTAAAAATAAATTAATGAAAATAAAATAAGTACAAGATACAAAAACAAGAATGCTTTTCTTGNGATTTTTTGTTGTGTCTCTAAATTTTGATAGGCAGAATTATCACCTATATATGATAGTGAGAGATACCAGATATTAGGCCCCGTTTGACCATAGATTTTGTCAAGTTTTTCTAAAATTCTTTTGGCAAAACATGTTTCTTTATAGATTTTATCCATGTTTTGGTAGATTTTGAAAACAAAATTTTCAAATCCCAAAACTAGCTCTAGACCTTTTTTTGGCCCAAAATATTACTGTTTGATTTTATCACAATTTTAAAATTTACCCCTAACTTTTTATTTTATAAAAAAACTCATCATCTATTATGACCCAACAAATAATTATTACTATCATTTTCTTTTGGACTGATGGATCTTGTAATATTATTGCAATTTGACGAATTATAGTGACTAGTAATTGTGTTATTAGCAGTTGATATTAAAATATCAGGTTATGATTTTAGGATAGTGTATTATGTAGTTCATTATAAAAATGACAATTTTATGCCAAACTTATCTATGTTTAGGACTATGATTTTTGATAGTTTTTATAACTTATGGGTATAAGTCATATTTCATATTTTTTTTTTAAAAAAAGAAGTGAAATATGTTTTGAAAAATTATATCAAAACAGATTTTCATTTTCAAACCAAACTTCACCAAAATTATATTTTTTAAAACAAATTTGGGAATCTATGGCCAAACGTTAACTTAGTATAATAGTCCAACTCGCTTAAACTGACCTAACACCAGTATTTTAAAAAAGAATATTAAAATAAAAAACTATACTTTATGTGATAATGTTTTTCTTTTAGTTTGTTTAAAAAAATAACAAATTTGTATATAAAAAATAATTTATATTTGACCTTCCATTTTATACTTAATAACGTGATTTTATAACCACAAATAAAACAGTGAAATAAGCGTTTTAATTTTTTATTTTTGAAATTTCAAACCTCAAATGCTTTTATCCACAAAAGAATTTATCCTTGATGTTCACGTCACACCAATACACATTTATTAAGTGAATTCTTCTTCCGATTCACAATAAGTAATATTTTTAGATGTTTTTACACAGATTAAGAAATTCACATTTTAACATTAATTAATAAAGAAATTGACCATATTAACTTTTACTATCTCTTTACATAAACATCCTTAAGACATACTCTAAGGACAATGTAGAAAAAAATAATTAATTCATCACTTATTTTGGAGCACAAAAAAATAAATAACTATTCTATTTTCCCGTTGCTTTTGGGTATGAAGTAAAAGTGTACAAGTTTGTAGAAATCTTCCATGAGTCTCGGATCGTAGGAGATCAAAACCCACTATGCATTTTAGGTAGAGTAAGATCCACAGTACTTACTAGTCCCGGTGCAGGGGATAATCGTGATTCCATTGATTATAATTAACTTTTTGATAATCGAGAAACAGAGGAACGTGACATTTCCACAAGTAGACACAAAACACTCAACAAATTTATCTTCTCTATGATCATAATTCCCTTCCCCACATTCTCTTCACCTTTATAAAATCTCCATTTCTCACTCTGGAAATTGAAATCAGCGAGTTCAGTTGAACATTTGGTAAAAATATAGATCTGCGAAGAGCAAATGGCGACGTCGTCGTACTGTGCGACTGCAAATGGAGCAGAGTTATACAAGCATTACGCCTCAAACTCGAGATTGATCGGTTTCAATTCTAGAAACAGAAGTTCCAAGTTGTTCCTCACTAGAACCTCGGATTTTCGGGGTGTAAAACGTTGTTTCCACGTGAAGAGCGTCTCAAGTGAGCCGAAGCAGAATGTTCAGGATCCGGTTACTGAGGAAGGTCTCATTCTAACTCCTAATGTTTCCTTATTTTTAATGTCTAATCAATTAACAATAGTTTTTGCGAGTTTATTGACCTTCTTGTTTAATTTCTACGATTTTCACGAAAAAAGTATAATTTGATTGGTGCTTCTGTTTTCACTCGGATTAACAACTACTCCTGTTTGTTTCTTGTGCATGACTGGACATGGAGTTTGAGAACATGTAATTGACATTTCTGTGCGTCAATAAAAGCTTGTTATTGAGGTTAAAAATGAAAGGTTTAAAGTTAAATTATTTTCAAATATACAAAAGTATCATTCTTTACTAATATGGAAAGAGTGTCATCAAATGGAACAGAGGCAGTATTGTTGAGGATCCTATTACTGATGAAGGTGTCAATCTTACTCCTAAGTCCTAACATTTCCTTATTGCTCTAGGTGAGGTCGAGTCACCCCAAGACCAAGGTGGGGAGTTCTTGGAGGGAGGGAGCCGAGGGTCTATGGGAAACAGCCTCTCTACCCTCTCTACCCAGGGTAGAGGTAAGGTCTACTACGTACAAACTACCCTACCCAGACCCCACTAGTGGGATTATACTGGGTTGTTGTTGTTGTTGTTGCATGTTTCTACGGCTATTTTTTTTTGAGTGTGTTGACCTTGTTGTTTAGTTTCTGAAATTTGCACAAATTGTGAAATTCTGAAAGTTAAAGTTTAGTTTATGGTGTTGGTTTTCCATGAGATCAACAATTATCTGCATTTTAAGTGAATCAAAGTTGGTTAATTTCTGCCTAATCAGTCCAACCGGTATTAAGAAAAATAGACCTTGGACCTAAGTCAACCTCAAAAACTAGCTTGTGAGAGGAGGATTGTCGAAGACCAGACTACTGCCCATATCCTCAACCAACGTTGGATTTTTTCAGCATCCAATGTGGTATTCTAATATGAAATGTGAGATCATTAACATTTCTTGCTCCTTTCTTATTTCATGACGAAATGGAGTGCTAAAAGGAATCAGAATTCACCATTTGAACAAAGGTGGATCTAGTATCTTGAGTCAATAGATTTGGAGTTGGTTGTGGTTTATTATATAAAGACATTTTACTCCATTCTTTTTAATTTATGTGAACCTATTTGACTGAGCACATAGTTTAATAAAGAAATAAATACTCTTGAAACTTGTGATCTTAAACATGCCATAAGTCTTGTTGGGTATAAAAGCTTGTCATTAAGGGTAAAATGATAGATTTAAGTTAAACTATTTTCAAATTTAGAAAGGGGTCATTCTTTTTTAAACAGAATAAAAAGGAAATAGGATTACATAAGTTGAAACAAAGGGAGTACAATTTTCTACATATGTATACATGGAGCCAAAAACATAAATATGACA